GGCATGCGAGAGACACTAAATCATGCAAGCAACACATGCACAACATGTTAAGAGCCAAAAACACTAAAGCTAGTGAAGAGCACTACACTAGAGGCATGCAATATCAAGCCCAAATAACCAAACCAGCTCTGGACAGAGCTTAAACATGCCAAAACAGTGGCTAAAACATGCTGAAATGGTAGCATAGAAGACAAGAAAAACATGCTCATTTGTTAGCTCATAAACAAGGCTCAAAGTACAACTCTTCAAAGCAATGAAAGAGTGAAATATGTGAGAGTGTGACAAAGATATATGCACTGAAATCACATGTTAAATGATGCCAAAACATGCAATCGACACATGCACAACATTCTAGAGGCCTTAAAATACAAAGCTAGTAAAGGCCATTTGCACTACAACCATGCAAGACAAGACTCACATGACCAAGAAAGCTCAAAATAGAGCTAAAGCATGCTAAATTAGTAGCAAAAACCTGCTGAGATCAAGTCACAAATAGATAGAAAAACATGCTCACATGCTAGGCCATTTACACTTGCAAACAAGACACAAGGAGGGGAGGCCACCCCCTCCTATTGTGGACCTCAAAACATACTTTTTACCACTGAAATCCCCATGGAATTCAGTGGTTAAAAGGCCAAGAAAAGTTGCTTTAAACCAACAAGGCTTAAACCAACAAGGCTTAAACCAACATTTTGGAACCTCAAAAATAGAGTTTTTTATGGTTGAAAAACTAGCTCAAAATAGTGTAAAAAGGCGGCCAAGCAATTAAACAAAACAAAGCTTTAAAGAGGTAGCTTTATACCTTTGAAACACAGCAACAAAACAGCCAATATTCTGAGCTAAAACCAACCTTAGGAGCTCAAACAAGACCTCCAAGAACCTCAACTCCAAGGTGAAGGTGTTTGCCTAGGGTTGCTAGTGCAAATGTGTAGAGAATTCCCACTTTCAAGCACAATATATATATATATATATATATAGAGAGAGAGAGAGAGAGAGAGAGAGAGAAATTTTGCTCACCAAAATTTTGTAACCCTCAAAATGGGGGAGAGACACCCCCCATTATATAGAAAAACAAGCCAAAAGCTTGGCTTTATCCTTCCATACATGTGTATGGAGATGAGCATCAGTGGACACCAGCTGGCACAGTTGGCAAATAAATATCTATAAAAGAAGAAAAATGGCCGCTGGCCACTTTAGGTGGCCGACCGGCAATCAATGTAGCTGACCAGCCATCAACATAGCCGACTGGCCACCACTGGTGGCTGGCAGGTACAAGTCATGGCCGGCAGGCTAGTGGGATGGCCGACAGGTCACCCTCTCCTCCAGAAGCAAAGAAACAAGTCTTGGTCTACAACCAAGCACAAAACAGACAAATTGAGAAGCTCCAAGGCAAGGCGCGCAGTCGAGACCCTCAGGAACTCAAAACGAACACGAGCATGCGAAACCATCGGGTGTTCAAATGATGATGTCTAAGTTTTGAGGACGGTCAAAAATGGGGTGTCTACACCAATACATAAGAAGAGAACTGAGCACCTTTTGCTTCCTTCAACAAGTTGGGCTTCAAACAATAGCAAAAGGATCTTGGTTGGACATGGTTTGATGCCATGAAACATTAAAGGAATGTACAGGTTGAAGATCTGCCATACAAAACAGAAGAACATTGTGGGTTTGAATGATACAGTTTTTAGAAAAACCTGTTCGTTTAATGATAAAGCTAAATTATGCAAGAATTATAAGCTTCTTAGCTTGTGTTGTTGATGATGTTATCCTATCTTCGGCCAACATGGTGGGTTTTGATATTTGTATACTCTTTTTGTGGCCCATTATTGCATGATCTCACACTTCTACCCTATAACTACCACTGTAACTGCCCCATGACTTTGAATCTTCCAACTCTGCCAAATATTAAATCTACCATGTCGACCTTCCTTTCCACCATGCTAGCGCATGTCCTTCATTATTATGAGACAAAAATCGACAGAACATTGTCCACTTAACACAAGCACGATCCTTTCCAAGTGGGCCACTGAACCACAACACTTAGCCACTCGCTATAACTGCCCACTGACTTTGAATCTCCAAACTCTGCCAAATATTCAATCTTCCCTATCAACCTTCCTTTCCACCATGCTGCCACATGTCCCTCATCATTATGAGCTAAAGTTTGACAAAAAAATTGTCCACTTAACACAATCACGATCCTTTCCAAGTGGGCCATTGAACCACAACACTTAGCCAGTAAGTGGTTCAAAGTTGGCTGCACCATTTGTTGCACATAACCACCCAATTCATGCCATCTGTCCCTTAGATTGCTTTGGTAATATTTCACTTTTAGTCCATTATGTGTCATTTTTTTACTGGTCCACCTGTCGACAAGTTCATGAACACAAGCACATCCAAACAATTACACACCAAATTCCGTAACTTAAAAAATGCCTAACCATGTTTAGCTGAAAGACAGACACTGCTCACCAAAAGATAGATGTTGAAAAAGTTATTTTTTTAACCCCAACATTAAGGTTATATTTAACGAAAACCCATACCCATAACTGGAAGGGGCAACTCAACGCTGGAGCGATAACAAAAGCCTACAGTTTCAGCCTGCTACAAACATTACAGCTGAGTATCTACCATGTCGTAATTGAAATCTTAATATTTGGATTTCCTTCAATCCAAATCATAGTAAATTTTTTGTTAACCTGAACCATTTTCACAAGCAGTAATTTAATCAACAAATTGAATGTCGGTAAACATCTTAATATTTGAAATACCATTTTTTAATATTGTAATGACTTAAACACAATTGTTGTCTTACATTTTACCTAACCACAATACACAACTTATTTATATTGAAAACAAAATATTCATTTTGAGTTTATAATAATAAAAATGAAAACTGCTCTTTCTTTTTTTTATTTTTATTTTTATTATTTTTTTTTAAGTTGACTCGTATTTGAAGCTAAATTATGATTCGTTTTTTATTTTTATTTTAAATTTCTGTTTGCACCTACTTTTGCTAGATCCTGTCAACGGGTGCTCCACTCAATTGAGGACACATGCCAAATCCATAGTGGATATTTAGTATCAGATGACAAGGGTCATCAACTACCATTGAATCTTGCATGCCACCTGGCTTAGATGGTGGAACAGTTACTGGCACTTATCATGGACTTAGTGGCCAGTCTCCAAAAGGAAACATGAACGAAGTGGGAGTCTGTATCTGTCGAGAGAGGGCTAAAAGGACTTGGGGACACGTGGCAACTTCAAGAATATGCAGTTCGACAGATAGAAGTAAAGGTTTTATGTGGTTTGAAGACTTGGAAATGACAGTGCAGTTACAGAAGTTGCACAGCAGCAGTTGGAGGTCAGAAGGTTTGCAGAGAGAGAGGACATCAACAACAACACATCAACTTACATTCTACATTTAAGAGTAGTTCAAATTGTAACTTACAAGTAGTTTTTTCCCTTGTAATTTGTATGTTGTAACTGGGTGAACTTTGCTAATTTCAACCTCAAATCACCAAAGGTTTATCTTCTCTAATTTGTTACCATCAGCTTATATCAGAAAGTTCATTTCACTTGTTTACTTTGTTACCATCAGTTCATAAAAACAAGTCTTCATCCTTTCCAGGCATTCAAACCAATACCACAATTACTTGATTGTTCTTCTTTAAATTGTTATCTTTGAATTACTACTTGGTTGATGTCGATATAGGCCCACCATAATTTTACTAACAATTTCCCCATCACTTTCATAGTTAACATGAAATTATTTCACAACTCCTGTTCGTAATTTGTAATTCATATACCAATTGGCTTAGACATAAAGTAAACTAGTTTGTTGGGCTAATTTGTCCAACTAATACCCAAAAATTAACTGGCACTTGGATTATATAGAAAATGCATGCATTGGGATGTAATTTTGCAAAACCACATGGACAAATTCCATATTTTAATTAGAAGACAAAATATAATACTAATTTACTGAAAAAAGTCATAACAAATCAATACGAAGCCAAAATACATCATTAGTTGTCAACCACACGGCAGCAACCCTTCAGTTAGATCCAACCAAATTTGGAACAGAAACAAGCAACCCCCAATAGGAATCTTGGAATATAGACATAAGCCAATTTCTAACCCAAAACAATACACAAACAACAGACACCCATATATATCTCACCTTCATTTAGTTTTGAAAATGACAAGTCACTGCAAACAAAAATGACAAAATCACTCTAAACAATATGCAAAATAATTGTTCCTGGCCTTGTACATAAGCAACATTGTGCCATTTCCTGGTCTTGTACATTAGCAATTATTTACACATTACGTACATCAATCTGTACAAAATCATAACTACGTACATATCTACCTGGTTCTTGCCAATGATGTGTTTTCAGAATCTAGTACTGTGTACCTAATAAATTAAGGGAATAAGCAAATCATACAATTACTTGATTCACCTCATCAATTGTGGTCGAATCATTTTTGCACACTTGTGCTTCAACACTATCGTATTGGCCCATAGGCTGTTTTGAATCAGGAGAAACATCAAAAATAGATGTCGTTGCTTAATGTGTAGTGTACATGGATCCACCGATCCAGTTTTGCAACGAATGGGCGATGAGTCCGCATTATACTCATGGTTAGTGATGTGGGTGTATCTGCAACTGAGTTACGACCCATTGTTTGGCTAAACTGAACCTTAGGACACGTTCACTTTGTGTGGCCAATGCATTTGCAATTCTCACATTTTCTTGGTCTTCGACAGTTAGACGAGGCTCGTCCCGGGTTCCCTTTTGTCTTCACAAGATCAGGATCTTCTACTCCAAATTGTCATGGGATTGAATGCTTCCCTTTGTCTCCATCCCCATCGTTGCAATTTCTCTTATATAACTCCTTCATCCAGCTCACCATCGGGAGACATGCATCCCTAGCCTCTTTGAAACCTTCGATTGATTGCGAGGCATAGAAACACATTTCATTGTAACAAAAACTCAATAGCGAGCATTCTGTGTTGTAGTGCTATCAATTGAGGGTTTACGCCATTGTTGGCCATCCTTACTTGCAGCTCTTGTCCATTTATGCAGCATAGAAGTTGGGGGAATTTGCGTTAAATTTTCAGCTTTCATAACACATATCATGTGACAGCAAGGTAGCCTGAATGGCTCAAACTTTATACAAGAACGTATCATTGCGGCATCCACTGGATTGTGTGTTACTATCCACGATCTATCCTTCACCTTGTACTTATGAATATAGTAGCATTTCTGACCATCCGACAAAGGGAACATGTCATTCACATTAAACTTCCCCTCTTCTAAGATTTCATCACGGAACATTTTAAATATATTCCGGGTGAATAGCTCAGCTCCATGTCTCTCTATATCTCTCAATGGAGTAATCAATACCGAAAAAGTGTTATTTGTTTCGGCATCATCTCCAGCCTCGTTATGCCTTATCCTTGCAAGAGCCTGATCATAGTGCCTAACAAATTCATATAGCTTCAATTTATGTTGGAGGAAGGGATTGAAATAAGCATTTATACTCTCCGAGCGCTGAGTGCTTTTTATCCCAGCAAAGAAATGGCCACGCATATATGCCTCGGCCTACATATGACGTTTCTCATATGTCTCCAACACCCAACTGTTGTTTTCAAGTCCAAATTTTTCGACCATTCTCGTCCAACCATCCTCAAACTTTGCCTCATCCGTTTCTATCTCCATGCACTGCTTGAAAGCATGTGCAAAGCCACTTTTGTGAACATTTGACACAGTATTTTTCCCAAGATGCCAATTACATAATCGATGTCTTGCGTCTGGAAATACTGTTCTGATTGCCTCTCGCATCGTCTTATCCCCATCCGTCAGTATGGACACAGGTACTTTATTGTCCATCGCCTCTATAAATGTTTCCAATACCCATGTGTATGTATCAACTCTCTCATTAGCTAGGAAAACACATGCAAATATCATGGTCGTTGTAGACACCCCATTTTTGACCGACCTTGAGACTCAGACGTCACCGGTTGAGCGCTCGGTGATATTGCATATTGTGCTCGTTCAGAAGTTTCAGAGTCTCGGCTGCGAGCCTTGCCTCCAGACTTCCGGACTCTTTTGTGCTTTGCCTCGGTTTGCGAACCAGGCTCTGTTTTCTCCGTTTTCTCTTCCCGAAGGGAGGGAGAGGTCTCGCATCTCTCAGTGGCCGTAGGCTACGTTTCGTGGTCGTAGGCCATTTTGCCCGTTTGGAGCCCGGTTTTCGATTTTTCGGAGCCTTTGGCCGTGTGCCTCTGTTCGGGACCGCTTAACCACCTCCGTTTGCCCCGGTTTTTGGCATACATCTTATTTGCTCCCTTTTGAGGGACACTGTGGTCCGAGAGACCAAATTCGTGGTCGGACACCGCTTCCGGTGCCTAACAGTCAGTTTTCGGGGCCTCGGGCTGCGTGTTTCGGCCCCCGAACCTTCATGCCTCTGTTCGGGACCGCTTAACCACCTCCGTTTGCCCCGGTTTTTGGCATACATCTTATTTGCTCCCTTTTGAGGGACACTGTGGTCCGAGAGACCAACTTCGTGGTCGGACACCGCTTCCGGTGCCTAACAGTCAGTTTTCGGGGCCTCGGGCTGCGTTTCGGCCCCCGAACCTTCATTTTGCATCGGTTTTGGTTCATTTTTGGCAGGGACCTCTAATTCATTGCTAGGAAGGTCATAGAAGGATGAGAGGCCAGTAATTGTTCTGTCAGCCAACTTTATCCCTTCATCGCCCTCCGTCACCTGATTTCTCCCACTTCAAAGCCAATGTTGACTACCCTTGGGCCATTTTCTTGCACCCTACACCCCATATTTGTGATGTACACATCTGGGAGGCCACCAATATTTGGTGGCTGGCCAGTAATTGTTTTTGAACCTTTTGAACCCCTCCTAAAAGTGGCCTTTTCTCTCTCCTGGTTCACTTTCTCCAATTTTTGACTACATGGTTGTGTTGTGCACACATGGGAGGCCACTAATCTAGCATGGCTGGCCATTAATTCTCATTGACCGTTTTGACCCTTGGCCGGCTGGCCATGGGGAGAGCCGGCCGGCCACTTGCAACCTCAATAACCGGCCGGCCATGCTCTTTGCTGCAGGCACATTCCAAATATGCATCTCTTTTCCCCCCAGATTGTGTATCCGGGGGGCTGCATTTTTGGAGGGAAACTTGATTCATTTCCCTCCATTTTTACCCCCTTTTCCCCCCCCTTTTTTGTCTATATAACAGCAGCTCCAGCTCTGTTATTAGGGTTACCAAAATTCCCCCCAAGCCTTTTGCCTTGTATCTCTATCTCTCTATCTTTCCAAGCTCCAAACTCTCAAGTCCTACACTCATTTCTTCACCAACCCATAGCCCCACCCTTCCATCCTCCATTCCAGCAGCTGGAGGTTGTTCTTCAGAGCCTAGGAGTGCTGTATCTCAAGCCAAAAGGGTGTCAAAGACTAGTCTTCAAGGGTGAGTCCCTATTTTCCTTTTTTGTGCTTTATTTTGTTCAATACATTAGCCATGCTTTCTTGCTGTTTTGGGCTCCGAACCTAACTGGAACTAGGCTTATTTTGAGCTATTTTTCATGTTTGTTCAAGGGCCTCTCACTGTTTGAGGCCTCCTTGTTGCACTTGCTTCATTGCCTCCCTTGTATGCCATTTTCTTGTGTAGTATTTTTGGCCTATGTATAAATTGTTTTGAGGCATGTCATAAACTGTAAAGTGGCTTATTTTGAGCCCTTCTTAAATGTTGTTGAAGGGATCATCACTGTTTGAGGCTTCTATCTTCCACTTTCCTTTATATCCCTTTTTTGGCTCCATTTTTGCATGATTTATTAGCCTCTTGTGCTTCTGTTTTTGGCCTCTGGTCCGAACTGAAAACAGCCTTATTTTGACCCTCTCTTCATGTTTCATTAATGGTATTTTATTGTTTGAGGCATCCTTTTTGTACTTTGTGTTATAGCTCTCTTTTTGGCTTTGTTTTGCATAGTATTTTGAGCATGCTTGTGTACTGTTTTTGGCTCGGTCATAAACTGTAAAAGGTCATATTTTGGGCCCCTCTTCAACATTGTTGAAGGGCCCTCATCAATTTGGGGCCAGAAGCTGTGACTTGCTTCTTCATCTCACATTTAGGGCCATTTTTGCGTATCGGTTTAGCCCTATTTGTGTTTGCTGTTTGGCCTTGCTTAAAACTGTAAACATGTTTTTTTTGGGGCTTCCTTGAATCTTTCTTCATACTTCTTGTACAAATAATGCATGCTTGATGTAGCTACAAGTCATTTCATGTGCTTAATCTTGCATTTCGGGACCATTTCATGCATTGGGTGCCATGCTTTTATGATTCGGGGCTGAAATTTGCATGCTAGTATGCCATGTTCCATGCCTTGCCATGTCTTGTTAGAGTGGCATTTGGTGCCTTAGGGTCGGTCCTCGGTTTGCGTGCATGCGTGCACGCATCTCGAGTCCTCTCATTTTCATCTAATGGCCTCTTATGCGAGTGTGGCTGAGGTCCACTTGTGTTAGTGTAAGTCCATTTATGCATTGTGTATGTCATTTTATTTCATAGCATTGCGTATGCTCAGTTGTATGTTAGCGCATTGTGTATGCCATGTTACCTCGTGCATCGTGTATGCCATTTCATAGCATTGTGTATGTTAGGTTGTATCTTAGTTGCATTTCATGCATATCATGCATATTGGATTGTGCTTGGGATAGGAATTAGCCCGAGCACGGGAAACGAGGTACGTTTCGTACTCCGAGTGACGGAACGTGTCTCAATTCCCCAGTCACCGGACACTCATGTTCGGATTATCCCATGATGGACTTAGGTGTTTTAGTTGAGTCTTATGTCATTCATTCTATATTTGAGTTGCACAATTCGACTCTCGACCCGGCATCCATGTGCATCGAGATGCGTGATGTGGGCACGAGGATCGAGGCAGTGCATATCATTGTGTGAAAATACATTGCTATGCCCCTCTCTTGCTCTCTGTTGCAACAAATCAAGAATCACAGTCTTTCGGAGCTGGCGCACTTTCCAAGAATAATTGCAAAACAGAGCTAATTGGGGCATCCCAGTGATTTCTTGCGCAAGGCAGCCCAAAATACATCATTCATCTAGAGTCGAGGCAGTCCCTGGCTTGCATCCAGTTTTATAACTTCTTAGATTAATTTGTAATTAATTAGGATTTTTGTATTTTATCGGGACTATATATTTCATCATTTGGAGCTGTATATTATTTATTCGGACCCTCTGGCGCGTGGGTAATGTTTAATAAGTGTGCGTGTGTGTGATGTATGTCTTCCAACCCCACGTCTTTCTCCCTTTTATTTACCAGCTTATAATGGTTAGATTAGGGCAATGTTTCAATTAGCATACAGTATGATAGCATGTTTGCATCATTCATCTTTTTGCACCACCGGCTCGGCGCATCATACTAACTGCATTTTGTATTTCAATTTCAAAGTTGATACTTGTTAGCTGTTGCACTCTCATATGCCATGTTTTAGAATAGTCGAGCCTGCTATAGTTGCATTTTGCATGTGTTGCATTAGGCATTTCTGTATAATTAGGATCATGCATGGATTTCTAATTAGCTTCTGTTTTGGCTTGGAGTATCGGTAAGTTTTATGCTTTAGCATCCTTGCATGTGTGTGAGTGACTGCCATGATAGCATGCTTACCATGAGGCTATATGTCTTATGATATAACTGCCTGAATGCTGTGGGTGAAGTTGGGTTATTTGAGTTGGAGCAATTCGTTAAATGTATGTTTTAAGCCCACTAGATAGTGGCAAAATCATGTTTTCTAAGCCACCTGAGGGTGGCAAATCCACGTCTTAGCCTACTTGCGGGTAGCACCATCAAACCATTTTCAAATAAACAAACATGAAATGTTTTGTTCAATTCAGGCGATCTAGTCTATACTTGTATACTGTGCGCATCCACATAGTAAATCTAGGCTAATAACCGGAATAAAGAATGCATAAAGTTTTTCAAAACTAGATAATCATGGTTAGTAGAGGCCGATCTTTGTCGGGCGAGCGGGGGTGCTCACGAAGTGACCTTTCCCCAATCGTACCCAAGTTTCCTCGAGCCGAGGCAACTTTGGTGATGACGGACACGTGGCCTTTGGCAGCGAGTCAGGGTTTCCTAAATTTCCCGAAATAAAATATTTAGGTGGCGACTCTGTATCTGGCAAAGCAGTCCATGTTTGGCACTTCTTTCAAAAATCTGTTTTCTCAAAATGATTTGCCGGATTTGGACTCTTTGGTTCAGACTTAGAACCGTGACAATTTTAGAGTCCTGAACTGTAGTGAGCCCAATATCCAACGAAACGGGGGACTCGTTCCTCCCCGGGGCGTTCGGGGACGTCTACAGTCGTGAAGTGGTTAGTCACACCAGCCAACATGACAAAAGGTTTCTTGTACGCATTGGTACGGTAAGTTGAGTCAAATATCAGCACATCACCAAACTTTACATAGTCAGCCTGCGATTTCGAATCTGCCCAGAACATATTTTGTAACTTGTTATCCTTACACATATCATACTTGTAAAAAAAATGTGGGTCAACATCAAGTTTTGCACATAGGTAAACCAAAGCACCCTGTGCATCACCATTCTCAACTTCTGCTCTACATTCGGCTTGAATGTGGTTGTGCAGATCCGTATGAATGAAGACAACATTCTCATAACACTCGGATTGATTTACCATATAGTCCATGATTTTGCAAGTCTTTACACCAACGTTGCACATAGCCATTGCTTGAGCTTTGTCAGCGCTGTTTAAACCCCGATGTGACCTCAGATATATCACACAGTGTTATTCTGCCAATTCATGGTTGTGGTCTGCGATGAAGTGAGTCACAACATACTTTCCCCCTTTACTAGCCTCTAGATCGTACCGTATACGAAATTGTGCTTTGCAACCTACTCTTGTTAGTGCCTTGGGAGCTCTTCTCTTCTCTGCAACATGGTCCAAGTATTTTGGTAATCTCTGACCTTCCTTTGAACACAACCATAGCCTACTAACAACCTTTCCCTATTTATTTGTGTTAAATCGGGATTTTCGTATACTAATTCCCTTGGCTTTAGCATACGCATTGTAGAAAGCTTCTCTATCTTCGACTGAATCAAATTTCTGTTCTAGAACAACACGTTCAACCTCACCCACCATGTCATCACCATGAGCATCGTCATCCATTTCTTGTTTCACATCGGCTCGGCCATCTTCAACGTTTATGTTGGTTGCTTCTTCATTGCGCGGACCAGCTTTGCAACCATGACAACGTTCCGCCCAACTTTCATTGATCAAACGAATGTAATCTGCTTCATTTAGAATGTCATAATCAACACCTTCACTTTTAACTTCGGCTGGGGCCATACTGTACATGACATTAGTACAAACAATTACTTGATGACTGAAAAATGTTAACACAAACACAAACATGACATTTTAACACAGTTGGATTGTTTGTGCAAACATAAACACTCGATTGAGAAAGAGAGAGGTTACTTGGTGATGGAGGGGTTTTGGTTGAAGTGTAGAGGGGTTAAAGTTAGGATGAGGGTTTAGTTAAGGAAAAATCGCTGAAGTGAAGAGGCCAGGGAGAGAGAGAGACAGAGAGAGGGAGACAGCTCCATGCCTGATATCTAGTTGGAGAGAATGCCTTCACTTCAGCAATGGAACCCCACAGAGCCTTGTAGTTCTGTTGTTACTGGAAATCAAGGGTTATACTGTTCCCTACAGAGCTTCGTGTGTGGAACCTAACAGGGGCTTGTCACTGTTAATGGAAATCAAAGGTTACAGACTCAACCTTACAGAGATGAAGACAAGAAGAGAGAGAGAGAGAGAGAGTGAGAAAAGTGGGATGCAATCATGCAAATAGGAGGATTAACCGATTGCCCCGGTTTCACATTTTCTACGATTAAACAATTCAATGGTCTTGATCAATTATTGTAATCTAACAGCTAAAAATTGGGTTACATATGGTGTGCAACCTTAAGGGGGCTGCACACTTAAACAGCTCCCATAATCTTATCATAAAATTATGTAAATTTGTGTAAATCTTAAAATTTTACAAATTTACACGAATTCGTATTGATAAGGAAAAGTTGGATTGGTTTGATTATCTGATATTCAACAAAGAAAAAAGTAGATCATTCATATATGTATGCTTCTTAATCGAATAAATGATACAGTGAGGGAAATAATGATGATTGTGGCATTTAATCACACTGTTATTCAAAGACATACACACTAGCAATGTTAGAGCATTGCCAATGATTTGCTAAAACAACCATCAAACCCATAATATGACAATTTGGGCTAATGCCAAATCTTTCAGATCATCATCCCAGCTGTTTCTCTTTCTTCCATCTCTCCCTCCCTCCCTTCCTCCCTCATCCTTTCCCCGCAAAACTCTCCCAAATAGAAAATAATTTTTTCATAACAAAATTCAAAAATAATAACAACAATCACTAGAAAAGACAATAATCACACAACAACAGTAATCAAGAATTTCAAGCAACTTCAGCTAAATTTCAAGTAATTTCTCACAAATTTCAGAAATATAATTTCACAAAAAATAAATATTTGGAAAGGTTTTGAAGTTTCTTCATCTTCTTCCCTCAATTTTGTCTTCTTCATCTTGAGAGAGAGAGATGCCTAGATTGTGAACTTCGAACCCAAATCGTGAGAGATGCCCAAATTACGAAAGAGATCGCCAAACCCAAATCAACATCTTAGAACCAGATCAGTAGAGGGTTTGGGTTTGGGTTTCATAGAGGGTTGTGGTAGAGAGAAGAAAGGGTTTCGGTGTTAAATCTCTCTCGCACTCATTTTTACTTTGATATTTTATTGAAGATTAAAAAATATATATGTATTAACTATAGCAAAACAGTTGGAAGGCAGATTATAAATTTTAAAGTTTAATCAGCAATTAGCTGATAGAGCGGTGCAAATTGATGTAGATTGGGACAATTTTAACGAATTGAACGGTATTTTGCACAACACTACATGAGACAATGCCCCAAACCTCTTTTTTTTTTTAAATAAATTTTTTATGGTATTTCAATTTTGGATGAATTAGAAGAATCTCATTTTTTAAAATATTTTTATTTTTTATTATTTTGGTTCATTTAATTGTATGGAACGTAAATATATAATTTTTTTTGAATTTTTGTTAAATGATCACAAAAGAGTAAAAAAAAAAAAAAAAAAAAACCTCAAAAAATCAATTCCAAGCACCACCTACAAAAAATAGGGAAAGTTGGTTGGAGGTGTGACAAAATGGCATATCACCCTTGGAGCACAATTGCTATAATTTGATATTTTGTTACTATAGCATGCCAAATTCTAGCTTTGACATTGCCAAAATGACAATGACCATTGGAGATGCTCTAACATACCCACACTTTTAGACCAATATTTTCACTCACAATGATGTGATAAAGGAGTTGGGCCTCATGTCATTGAGTGTATAGAAAATCAAGAGTTCACACATGATATCATATTATTGTGGGTGTTTTTTTTTTTTTTTGTAGGTCTCAAACATTTTTTCACACTATATATGATCACAAAACAAGAAAATTCAATCAAGAAAAAAAAACTTATGTATTATATAGTGAAGCGAAGTAGTTTTAAAGAAGAATTATAAATTTCAAATTGCGATTCAAACTAACCTACGGTTAGCAAGCGAATTAGTGTGAATTGGATAGTATTTTACATAGTCTTAGTGCTTAGTCACTCATGAAGATAAGAATGAATGACAAACAAATGGAAATAGTGGGGACCCCATGGATGGGAAAGGTTTGCTTCCTTCTAGCCCTAGTTCCCTCCCTCTTTTAATCAAAGAAAATCGAAACCCCCTTTTACTTTATTTTCTTTTTCCTTTTATACTTGAATTTCTTTAAGCTTAGTTTCTTATTTCCACACACACATTTCAAGTATTGGCTACACTTGCGGCCAAAATGCTCTACATATGCGGAGCTTTGATAGTAAGCCTTTGGGGATTGGCTACTCATATGCCTAAGGTGGTTGCTCGTGCGATAGATGGCCGCTCGTGCGAGGAGGCTCAATAGTGCTGCGGTAATCATCTTGCCTCTGTCGCTCGTGTAGAGATCCTATTGATTGTGCCGAGAAACTTCATGATCTCTTTTTCTTTAGTTCTACCACTTTTTAATCATTTAATTGAGAACTGCCCATCGAACTTGCATGCACGAAAAAACACATAATATTTGCCAAGTAACTATACTTTAAAGACTATAAATGTTATTTAGACGACCTCAATGTGATACCTTTCGACCCAGATCATGGTCATTGAATTCAAAATTTATAAATAAAAAAAATTAATGGTCATCATCATTCTCCATACTATATGTAGATATAAAATATGTGTCTCAGTTTCTCCCTTTAAACTCATTCATGCTAACCAGTCTCTTTTTTTTTCTCTGTCTAACTTGTTGTAGTCAAATCTTCTTCAATTTTATATTTATAAAAAAAAAAGATCTCAAACTTCTTGAAAGAGAAACTTTGGTATTTTATCTCCACACTCAAAAAGTTCTGCATCTGTGAACCTCATGACCACTGAGTCTGCTGACAAGAAAATGATGACAAAGATCGCCTTCTTAGTAACGAGGAACCTTTCATCTCCACTGTCTCGCTCTGCTGAGGCGATGAAACGGCAAAGGGAAGTGGTTACCAGAGCCAACTGAAGCTGACCACCAAAATCGATTACCGAGAAATATGATTTCGAAGAAGCATATGCTGGTGAAATTGGTTCAACAAAAAATGAACTCAATGTTTTTGGTTTGATTGGCGAGCTAACCTGACCCAGATCGACCCATGAACAAACCTAATTCTCACAATATTGCACAAGAGTAGATGGAGAGGGGACTGTACCATGTGGCAGAGCATCATCTGCTTGTATAACCTTACATTGCTCATATGCCATCAATGCACATGAGGGGATGGTACCTTGTGGTAGAGCATCATCTGCTTGTATAACCTTGCATTGCTTATGTGCCATCAATGCACACGAAGGGACGATACCTTGTGGCAGATCATCATCTGCTTGCATATCCTTGTATTTGGCAATTTTTACAGTGAGAACGGATAGCTGTGTGCAATAAAAGAAGTCAGGGTAATTGCAGATAATCAAACATCAAAAGAATGTCTGAAGCAACTGAACCAGGTTTTCTTTTCATCTCTCTTTGTTGAATTATTTTGCATTGTGCCAACTTCAGATATGTTTTTAGTTTCTTACTGACTTTTTTGTGAATAACTTTTGAAATTTGTAATGTGATTATTAATTGGATTTGTAAAATGTTTGTTGTTGTCAACAAGAGATCATGATTGGAAACTCTTCTTGTTCAACTATTTATTTATATATATACAAAGATTCTTATCCTGGCCTACCCACTCTATCCATACCTGATAATAACTATGAAGTTTATGTTTAGGTTTGAAAAATTTTGATTCCATATGTAGACACCCCATTTTTGACCGTCCTCAAAACTTGGACGTCATCGTTTGAACACTCGATGATCATCCATGCTCGTGTTCCTTTTGAGTTTCTGAAGGTCTCGACTGCACGCCTTGCCTTAGAGCCTCTCAACTTATCTGTTTTGTGCTTGGTTGTGGACCAAGAGCTTATGGCTTTGTTTTTGAGGGAAGAGGGTGGCTTGTTGGCCAGCCCTACAACCCATTGGCCAAGCCTCATGCCTATCGGCCATGCCCTCTTTCCATCGGCCATGCCCTCT